GTGAATTCTGAATGGTAATTTTCCTTGTTCCCATGTAATTCTCTGCAGGTTTCCACATAGTTTCCTTTAGAAACAAATAATGCCTTACTTGATCTGCGTATTACTATTTTTTCTTAACTGAACTAGAAATTGGGAACATTGGCCACTCTGTTCATTTCCTGTGTCCTTAGTTAACATAACTTCTGCCCCCAATTCTCTGGTGATTCCATGGTTCAGGGAATTCTGGTTTTTCTTTAATATAGCCTGAATGCTTTTGGTTTTAAATTTTGAGGTATTTAAAGTGAAGCTTATTGAATAGTTTCATTTTTTGCTTTTGTTGACATTAGTCTGCTATGATTCATTACACCCTCAATTGCCTCAACAGATAAATAAGAATTGAATTTCAGTTATGTTAAGCTCTGTGTTTTCTAAAGCAATACCAAAGAGAAAGGCTTACGTTAGGGTCAGGAGTACAAAAGGAACTGTTATGTAATGTTTGCCTCACTTTCTATTCAAGTGTGAAATAGGTAGGAATTCAGGAGAAGCAATTGAAATATCAGAACAGTTAGGAACAGAATATAATACATATATATTATATAAATATAATAAAATTGAATTGTTTTGTTTGTTGTCGTTGTTAGCCATTAAAATAAGTGTTGAGCTCACGGACCCAGGGCCTTAACAAAATTAGGAACAAGCTAATGGAATAGTAGCCATCCCCAAATCTGCCCTTCAGGCTCTGGTGCCCAGCCCTGCCTACTTCCTTTCAGTTCCTTGAACATACTGTGTTTCTTCTTTTTATTTGTCTTTGGCACAAGCTGTTCCATGAGGCTGAAATACTCTTTATTCATCCTCTGGAATTCAGTTCACACGTCACTTCCTCAGGGAAGCCTCTGACCCTCCCCCCAGGAGGGTCAGATTCCATTCTCCTGTACCCTGCACTTCTCCCTCTTAGAGAGCACTGATCACAACTGTATGCTCCACCAGGGCAGGGAACAAGTCTAGTTTATTCAGGGCTCTAAGCCAATCACTAAGAGCAGAGTACACAATAGGCACTCAGTAAATATTTGTCGAATGAAGTTCAGCATTTATTAAGCACCAAGTACCTCACTTCGTCAACTCCTCACAGTAACCCTTTTAGGTATTCTTATCCCCATTAACAGATGAGGAAAGTGACACTAGAAAAGTAACATGCCCCAGGTCACATAGTCAACGAATGGCACAGCCAGAACTTGACCCACGTCACTTTGATGCCAAAGCCAGTGTCCTCTTTTTCTTTTATTTCTCTCATTGCGTGCTGTTATCCCACTGAAAAGCCAGTGTTCTAAGCGTGGCACTACGTGATGTTCCACAGAAAAGCCGGCAGAGGGTCTGATCAGAATGTAGCTTTGTACTTATAATGCACATTCGTAGTGTGCCTGCGTGCTTTCCCCAGTCGCAGGCTCTGCTTTCATTTGGAGGATATACAACTCTCCATGTCTCAGTCCACATGGTCTGGGTGAGCTCAGCCCTAGGGATGAAGCCCTGTGCCAATCAGCATGACCCATCCCACTGAAATATGATGATTGATTCAGGGGTGGGCTTGTGACCTAATATTGTCAATAAGAGCCAATTGAGACTCAATCTAGAACTTTGGTTGGAGTCTTTGCAAAAGTGGACTTGATCTTTCCAACTGGCCATGGGCCCTGGAAGCATGAAGATTGGCATTACTTCAGAGACTCACCACCTGAAACAGAGAGGAGGGCAGATGTGACCCTAGACACTGTCTGGCTCCTGATAGCATTATCTGAGCCTTGCTCAAGCTGTGCCTGAGGTTTTCTGCCTGAATACTTGTCACTAATTTGAGTCAGTGGAGTCCTTTTTCTGCATAAGCCTTTTTGGATTGGAAGTTCTGTCACCTGCAGTCAAGGGAATCTAACCAACACAGGACCTAAAAGACACTGGACGTGTTTTGACTCTTTTCTGTTTCCATTTTGCACAGGCTTAGGTCACTTCCTTAGGCTCTTTGAATGATCATAAATGTGTGTTTTCTGGGCCTGGGGAAGAAAGCAGTGAGAAGGTAGTACGGCAGCGATGCTTGTCAAAACAGGTGTTGTGGCTTTAGGAATCGTGGCCCTAGGACTTGCTCAGTAACTTGTGGAATGTAAGAAATTTCACTTACTTATTTTTCTGCACCTATAAAGAGTGAGGATAATATTTGCTACACTGGGGCATCCTTGGTCGTCCAGTGGCTAAGACTCCACGCTCCCAATGCGGGGGGCCCAGGCTTGATCCCTGGTCAGGGAACTAGATCCTGCATGCCGCAACTAAGATCCCACATGCCAAAACTAAGACCCGGCGCAGCCAAATAAATAAATATTAAAAAAAAATTTTTGCTACCCTGTTTAAACGAGAGGGAGTTGATAAGAATGTGTCTAGTACTTTGTACTTTGGTACGACTCACCTTCCAATGTGGCAGTAACACTTCACCATGTCAACCTGTGGCTTTTCATATTTCTCAATCCCTAGACTGACCTAACCAGTAGTGAGGTGGCTAAATAAGGAGGCTCCTACTTTTGGACGACCATAGAGGGAGGATATTCATGTTCCATAGCCCAGGAGGCCATAGATGCATGTCCTAACCTCACTGAAACATTAACTGTTTTCACGCTCAAGAGAGAATAGTAAGCTTTCTTTCTGCTCTATGGATTTCACAAATGCTGTGGAGCAACTAAGCCCATGCGCCACAACTGCTGAGCCCTGGCGCGGCAACTACTGACGTCCATGCACCTAGAGCCTATGCTCCGCAACAAGAGAAGCCACCACAATGAGAAGTCTGTGCACTGCAATGAAGAGTAGCCCCTGCTCGCCGCAACTAGAGAAAGCCCACACGCAGCAACGAAGACCCAACGCAGCCAAATAATAAATAAATAAATAAATAAATAAATAAATAATATCTGCTAGCTGTATTTAGAGTTACCTGGCTGTAGGAGGAAAAATCTGTGTGTTCAAATAGCTTAATTTTCCACAGTGAAGGAAAGCCCTCCCAGAGACACTAAGAAAAATGAAACCAAGCCAGCAAAGATATAAACCATTAATTTTATTTCCATTCCTAAAATGTAAGTGAATTTATTGATTTGATATTTAAAGTAGTCTCTTTGCAAAATCATCTCAGAAAATATTCTAAATTTATTAAAATGCATGCAAACTATTGCTGAAAATTCTAAGTCCTCTTATTGACCAACTTGTTTTCACAGCACTTGTGATGATTTCCCAAGGTTTCCATAGTTACAGTGAACAAAGAAATCATCTTGAGACCAGAGTGGAAATTTGATCAGACTAATCCGAACAGTATTTATCTACCTCTTTACAGACTCACAGCTTGACTATTTTGAGGCGGCTCTTACAAAGCGTATCTAGTTATTCAAGGTTTGTCTAATTACAGTGGGCCTTTTCTTTGCCTGCAATTTACTACATTCAGCAAAGTATACGTTAGATAATAAGGAAAATGAACCCAAGAACTCTAACTGCTTCATATAGTTTTATGGATATACTGAAGTGTCAAGTACAAACTTCATCTTAAGAATTGAAGACTGGAATGCAGGGAAACAAACTCTGGTGCAATACCAGAATAAAAAACATAACAAAGCTGGGCAGAACTAGGTGTGGCATCCTGGTACATTAATGTTGAAAGCCAGCCCAATGATACTAAGGACAACAAATAGATTCAGATTTCTTTTTTTCTTTTGCGGTACGCGGGCCTCTCACTGTTGCGGCCTCTCCCGAAGTGGAGCACAGGCTCCGGACGCGCAGGCTCAGTGGCCATGGCTCACGGGCCCAACCGCTCCGCAGCATGTGGGATCTTCCCGGACCGGGGCACGAGCCCACGTCCCCTGCATCGGCAGGCGGACTCTCAACCACTGCGCCACCAGGGAGGCCCCGATTCAGATTTCTTTAAAAAAAAAAATCTGTGCTGTTTAGGTTTGGAGTTTTCAACTAGTCAGTATTTCTTTATTTATTTTGTGAATTATTAAGATTTTTTTGGAATTTCCCTGCTGGCGCAGTGGTTAAGAATCCGCCTGACAATGCAGGGGACATGGATTCGAGCCCTGGTCCAGGAATATCCCACATGCTGTGGAGCAACTAAGCCTGTGCGCCACAACTACTGAGCCTGTGCTCTAGAGCCTGTGAGCCACAACTACTGAAGCCTGTGTACCTAGAGCTTGTGCTCCGCAACAAGAGAAGGCACCACAATGAGAAGCCCGTATGCTGCAACTAGAGAAAACCCACGCACAGCAACGAAGACCCAACACAGCCAAAGATAAAAAAATGAATTAATTTTATAGAAAAAGATCTTTTCACGTCTCCCTCTTCAAAGTCTTCTTTTGAGTGATTAACTGCTAATTAGCATCAACCTCTCAAAGAGAAGGTAAAATTAAAATCTGTTGGGTAATAATTTAAATAAGACAGAAAAAATTTGAAGTTACTGAATAAAGTAAGGTTTGAGGATAATGGTGGACTTCAATTATGAAAGCCCATTGTTTCCTTTAAGGGAGAGTTCAAAGCTGTTTTGTTTTGTTTTTGATTCTTTGGCAGACAATAGAAAATAGCTAAATAGGTTATAACATAAACTTTTAGTGATGAAATTCAAATTTACCTTAAAAAGGGGGTTCCCTTCTCCCAATTAGTTGTGTGTGTGTGTGTGTGTGTGTGTGTGTGTGTGTGTGTGTGTGTATGGCTGTGTTGCGTCTTCATTGCTGTGTGCAGGCCCTCTCTAGCTGTGGTGAGCAGGGGCTCTAGGTACACGGGCCTCAGCAGTTGTATCCATGGCCTCAGTAGTTGTGGCTCGTGGGCTCCAGAGCACAGGCTCAACAGCCGTGGCACATGGGCTTAGTTGCCCCACGGCACGCGGGATCCTCCGGACCAGGGATCGAACCTGTGTTCCCCACATTGGCAGGCAGACTCTCAACCACTGCACCATGAGGGAAGTCCCCCAATTAGCATTTTAAGTGTAAAACCCAAACCTTAAATTATTCGAGCCCTTCAGGTTTCAACTTCTATTTCACAGCATATCCGTAGATGTGAGGGCGCAGGAGCTCCCAGGACAGGGGGGCCTGTAAGTGCTGCAGCTTCAGCTTGGAGAAGCGGGCCCACTCCAGGGCCTTCCAGCTCTCTCTGGTCAGGTTGCATCCATCAAACAGAAGGTACCAGACAGGAGTCAGGACCTGTTGCCAGAAGTAATTCCAGGTTGAAGGCTTAGCTGCTACATGCTCCATGAAATAAAAAGCTCCTCCCTGAGAAAGAAAAGAAAAGAAAAAAAAAAACACATCAAGGATTTTAGTTTGGGGGGAAAAATTTATAAGATGATTTTTTAAAAATTAATTAATTTTTTTATGGCTGCACTGGGTCTTTGTTGCTGTGCGCAGGCTTCCTCTAGTTGCGGTGAGCGGGGGCTACTCTTTGTTGTGGTGCAGGGGCTTCTCATTGCGGTGGCTTCCTTTGTTGCGGAGCATGGGCTCTAGGCGCATGGGCTTCGATAGTTGTGGCTCACGGGCTTTAGAGCACAGGCTCAGTAGTGGTGGCGCATGGGCTTACTTGCTCTGAGGCATGTGGGATCTTCCCGGACCAGGGCTCAAACTCGTGTCCCCTGCATTGGCAGGCAGATTCTTAACCACTGGACCACCAGGGAAGTCCTATAAGATGATTAAATGTCAGATTTCAGTGGCCCCAAAGGCCAACTTCATGAGAAGACATGGAGAAATTCAAACTTACTACGATACTATTCTGGTTAATAGTGTCATCTTCTGTCAGATTTTATACAGAGTTGCCAATCTATATTTTCTGTTCATAAAGGTAATACATAATAATAGTTAGAATTTGAAGCAGTTACTGCATGCAAGACCCTGTCTGTAAGGCCTATCACATGTTAACTCAATCCTTACAATGCACTTATTTGGTAAGCATTATTATTATCATTCCTATGTTCTACAGATGAGGAAACAGAGTCACATAGAAAATAAACAACTTGCCCAAGGTCATACAGCTTACAAATGTCAGAATCAGGTTTTTACCTTGGGTGGTCCGGCTCCAGAGGCTGGCAATACTGTCTCACCAATATTATTTTAGAAAATTCAGAAAATACAGAAAAGTTTAAAAAGAAAAACAGTCAATCATCTTTCATCACCTCGAGACAACTACTGTTAAGATTTTGTGGAAGATGGTGGAGTAGAAGGACATGCACTCATTCCTTCTCGTGAGAGCACCGGAATCCCAACTAACAGTCATCGACAGGAAGACACTGGAATGCACCAAAAAAGATACCCCACATCCAAAGACAAAGGAGACGCTGCAGTGAGATGGTAGGAGGGGTGCAATCAGAATAAAAGCAAATCCCATAACCACTGGGTACGGGTGACTCACAAACTGAAGAACACTTATACCACAGAAGTCCACCCACTGGAGTGAAGATTCTGAGCCCCACGTCAGGCTTCCCAGCCTGGGGTGTCCGGCAATGGGAGGAGGAATTTCCAGAGAATCAGACTTTGAAGGCTAGTGGGATTTGATTGCAGAACTTCGACAGGACTGGGGGAAACAGATTCCACTCTTGGAGGGCACACACAAAGTAGTATGCACATCAGGACCCAGGGGGAAGGAGCAGTGACCCCATAGGAGACTGAACCAGACCTACCTGCTAGTGTTGGAGGGTCTCCTGCAGAGGCAGGGGGTGGCTGTGGCTCACCACGGGGACAAGGACACTGGCAGCAGAAGTTCTGGGAAGTACTACTTGGCATGAGCCACCCCCCGCCCCACAGTCTGCCATTAGCCCCACCAAAGAGCCTGTAGCCTCCAGTGCTGGGTTGCCTCAGTCCAAACAACCAACAGGGAGGGAACTCAGCCCCACCCATCAGCAGACAAGCAGATTAAAGTTTTACTGAGCTCTGCCCACCAGAGCAACACCCAGCTCTACCCACCACCAGTCCCTCCCATCAGGAAGCTTGCACAAGCCTCTGAGATAGACTTATCCACCAGAGGGCAGACAGCAGAAGCAAGAAGAACTACAGTCCTGCAGTCTCTGGAACAGAAACCACATTCAAAGAAAGATAGACAAGATGAAAAGGCAGAGGGCTATGTCCCAGATGAAGGAACAAGATAAAACCCCAGTAAAACAACTAAGTGAAGTGGAGATAGGCAACTTTCCAGAAAAAGAATTCAGAATAACGATAGTGAAGATGATCCAGGACCTCGGAAAAAGAATGGAGGCAAAGATCGAGAAGATGCAAGAAATGTTTATCAAAGACCTAGAAGAATTAAAGAACAAACACCTAGAAGAATTAAAGAACAAACAAACAGAGATGAACAATACAATAACTGAAATGAAAAATACCCTAGAGGAATCAATAGCAGAATAACTGAGGGAGAAGAACGGATAAGTGACATGGAAGACAGAGTGGTGGAATTCACTGCCACAGAACAGATTAAAGAAAAAAGAATGAAAAGAAATGAAGACAGCCTAAGAGACCTCTGGGACAGTATTAAATGCACCAATATTCACATTACAGGGGTCCCAGAAGGAGAAGAGAGAGAGAAAGGACCCAAGAAAATATTTGAAGAGATTATAGTCAAAAACTTCCCTAACATGGAAAAGAAATAGTAACCCAAGTCCAGGAAGTGCAGAGAGTCCCAGGCAGGATAAACCCAAGGAGAAACACGCCAAGACACATAGTAATCAAATTGACAAGAATTAAGGACAAAGAAAAATTATTAAAAGCAACAAGGGAAAAACAACGAATAACATACAAGGGAACTCCCATAAGATTAACGGCTGATTTCTCAAAAACTCTACAAGCCAGAAGGGAGTGGCATGATATACTTAAAGTGATGAAAGGGAAGAACCTATAACCAAGATTACTCTACCCAGCAAGGATCTCATTCGGATTCGACGGAGAAATCAAAAGCTTTACAGACAAGCAAAAGCTAAGAGAATTCAGCACCACCAAACCAGCTCTACAACAAATGCTAGAGGAACTTTTCTACATGGGAAACACAAGAGAAGAAAAGGACCTGCAAAAACAAACCCAAAATAATTAAGAAAATGGTAATAGGAACATACATATCAATAATTACCTTAAATGTGAATGGATTAAATGCTCCAACCAAAAGACACAGACTTGCTGAATGGATACAAAAACAAGACCCATATATATGCTGTCTACAAGAGACCCACTTCAGGACACATACAGACTGAAAGTGAGGGGATGGAAAAATATATTCCATGTAAAAGGAAATCAAAAGAAAGCTGGAGTAGCAATACTCATATCAGATAAAATAGACTTTAAGATAAAGACTGTTACAAGAGATAAGGAAGGACACTACATAATGATCAAGGGATCAATCCAAGAAGAAGATACAACAATTATAAATATATATGCACCCAACATAGGAGCACCTCAATACGTAAGGCAAATGCTAACAGCTATAAAAGAGGAAATCAACAGGAAAACACAATAATAGTGGGGGCCTTTAACACCTCATTTACATCAATGGACAGATCATCCAGACAGAAAATTAGCAAGGAAGCACAAGCTTTAATTGACAATAGACCAGATAGATTTAATTGATATTTATAGGACATTCCATCCAAAAACAGCAGATTACACTTTCTTCTCAAGTGCACACGGAACATTCTCCAGGATAGATCACATCTTGGGTCACAAATCAAGCCTTGGTAAATTTAAGAAAACTGAAATCATATCAAGCGTCTTTTCAAAGCACAACACTATGAGATTAGAAATAAATTACAGGGAAAAAACGTAAAAAACACAAACACATGGAGACTAAACAGTACATTACTAAATAACCAACAGATCACTGAAGAAATCAAAGAGGAAACCAAAAAATACCTAGAGAAAAATGACAATGAAAACACGATGATCCCAAACCTATGGGATGCAGCAAAAGCAGTTCTAAGAGGGAAGTTTATAGCAATACAATCCTACCTCAAGAAACAAGAAAAACCTCAAATAGTCTAACTTTACACCTAAAGGAACTAGAGAAAGAAGAACAAACAAAACCCAAAGTTAGTAGAAGGAAACAAATCATAAAGATCAGAGAAGAAATAAATGAAATAGAAACAAAGAAAACAATAGCAAAGACCAATACAACTAAAAGCTTATTCTTTGAGAAGATAAACAAAATTGATAAACCTTTAGCCAGACTCATCAAGAAAAAGAGGGAGAGGACTCAAATCAATAAAATTAGAAATGAAAAAGGAGAAGTTACAACGGACACTGCAGAAATACAAAGCATCCTAAGAGACTACTACAAGCAACTCTATGCCAATAAAATGGATAACCTGGAAGAAATAGACAAATTCTTACAAAGGTATAACCCTCCAAGACTGAACCAGGAAGAAATAGAAAGTACGAACAGACCAATCACAAGTAATGAAATTGAAACTGTGATTAAAAGTCTTCCAGCAAACAAAAGTCCAGGACTAGATGGCTTCACAGGTGAATTCTATCAAATATTTAGAGAAGAGCTAACACCCATCCTTCTCAAACTCTTCCAAAAAGTTGTAGCGGAACACTCCCAGACTCATTCTACGAGGCCACCATCACCCTGATACCAAAACCAGACAAAGATACTACAAAAAGAGAAAATTACAGACCAATATTACTGATGAATATAGATGCAAAAATCCTCAACAAAATACTAGCAAAGAGAATCCAACAACACATTAAAAGGATCATACACCATGATCAAGTGGGATTTATCCCAGGGATGCAAGGATTCTTCAATATATGCAAATCAATAAATGTGACACACCACATTAACAAATTGAAGAATAAAAACCATATGATCATGTAAATAGATGCAGAAAAAGCTTTTGACAAAATTCAACACCGATTATGATAGAGACTCTCCAGAAAGTGGGCATAGAGGGAACCTACCTCAACATAACAGAGGCCATATACCCACAGCAAACATCATTCTCAATGGTGAAAAACTGCAAGCATTTCCTCTAAGATCAGGAACAAGACAAGGATGTCCACTCTTGCCACTATTATTCAACATAGTGGCAAGGAACTCCTAGCCATGGCAATCAGAGACGAAAAAGAAATAAAAGGAATATAAATTTGAAAAGAAGTAAAACTGTCACTGCAGATGACATGATGCTATACATAGAGAATCCTAAAGATGCCACCAGAAAACTACTAGAGCTAATCAGTGCATTTGGAAAAGTTGCAGGATACAAAATTAATGCACAGAAATCTCTTGAATTCCTATACACTAACAACAAAAAAATCAGAAAGACAGATTAAGGAAACAATCCCATTTACCATTGCAACAAAAAGAATAAAATACATAGGAATAAACCTACCTAAGGAGGTAAAAAACCTGCACTCAGAAGACTGTAAGACACTGACGAAAGAAATGAAAGATGACACAAACAGATGGAGAGATATACCATGTTCTTGGCTTGGAAGAATCAATATTTTGAAAATGACTATACTACCCAAAGCAATATACAGATTCAATGCAATGCCTATCAAATTACCAATGGCACTTTTTACAGAGCTAAAACAAAAAATCTTAAAATTTGTATGGAGACACAAAAGACCCTGAATAGCCAAAGCAATCTTGAGGGAAAAAACCGGAGCTGGAGGAATCAGACTCCCTGACTTCAGACTATACTACAAAGCTGCAGTAATCGAGACAATATGGCACTGGCACAAAAACAGAAATATAGATCAATGGACAGAATAGAAAGCTCAGAGAGAAACCCATGCACCTATGGTCAACTAATCTATGACAAAGGAGGCAAGAATATACAATGGAGAAAAGACAGTCTCTTCAGTAAGTGGTGCTTGGAAGACTGGGCAGCCACATGTAAAAGAATTAAATTAGAATACTCCCTAACACCATACACAAAAATAAACTCAAAATGGATTAAAGCCCTAAATATAAGACCGGACACTATAAAACTCTTAGAGGAAAACGTAGGAAGAACACTCTTTGACATAAATCACAGCAAGATCTTTTTTGACCCACCTCCTAGAGTAATGGAAATAAAAACAAAAATAAACAAATGGGACCTAATGAAACTTAAAAGCTTTTGCACAGCAAAGGAAACTATAAACAAGACGAAAAGACAACCCTCAGAATGGGAGAAAATATTTGCAAATGAATCAACAGACAAAGGATTAATCTCCAAAATATATAAACAGCACATGCAGCTCAATATTAAAAACACAAACAACCCAATCAAAAAATGGGCAGAAGACCTAAATAGACATTTCTCCAAAGATGACATACAGATGGCCAAGGAGCACATGAAAAGCTGCTCAACATCACTAATTAGTAGAGAAATGCAAATCAAAACTACAATGAGGTATCATCTCATGCTGGTTAGAATGGGCATCATCAGAAAATCTACAAACAAAAAATGCTGAAGAGGGTATGGAGAAAAGGGAACCCTCTTGCACTGTTGGTGGGAATGTAAATTGATACAGCCACTATGGAGAACAGTATGGAGGTTCCTTAAAAAGCTAAAAATAGAATTACCATATCACCCAGCAGTTCCACTACTGGGCATATACCCAGAGAAAACCATAATTCAAAAAGACACATGCACCCCAATGTTCGTTGCAGTACTGTTTACAATAGCCAGGTCATGGAAGCAACCTAAATGCCCATCGACAGACGAATGGTTAAAGAAGATGTGGTTCATATATACAATGGAATATTACCCAGCCATAGAAAGGAATGAAATTGGGTCATTTGTGGAGACGTGGATGGAGCTAGAGACTGTCATACAGAGTGAAGTAAGTCAGAAAGAGAAAAACAAATATTGTATATTAACGCATTTATGTGGAATCTAGAAAAGTGGTACAGATGAACCGGTTTGCAAGGCAGAAATAGAGACACAGATGTAGAGAACAAACGTATGGACACCAAGGGGGGAAAGTGGGGGTGGGGGTGGTAGGATGAACTGGGAGATTGGGATTGACATATATACACTAGTATGTATACAATAGATAACTAATAAGAACCTGCTGTGTAAAAAAATAAAAAGCAAAAAAGCAAAAAAAAACAAAATAAAATTTTGTATATACATTTATATATTTTTTTCTAAAACTAGGATTGGAATATACATTCTGTTTTATAATCTGTTTTATTTTATTTATGTATTTGAGTATTATTCTAAAAGATGGTTTAAAAAACCTTTATGCAATATTTCACACCACTGAAGTTACCATCTCTTTTTTTTTTTTTTTTTTGCGGTACGCGGGCCTCTCACTGTTGTGGCCTTTCCCGTTGCGGAGCACAGGCTTCAGACGTGCAGGCTCAGCGGCCATGGCTCACGGGCCCAGCCGCTCCACGGCACGCGGGATCCTCCTGGACCGGGGCACGAACCCGTGTCCCCTCATCGGCAGGCGGACTCTCAACCACTGCGCCACCAGGGAAGCCCTACCATCTCTTATTTAACCATTCTCATTTAGGCTATTTCCAATTTTACATTGTTATAAATACTGTTACAGTGAACATCCTTATCCATAAATCTTTGTGACCATCTATAATTATTTCCAAATAAATAACTTGCTAAAAAGTGGAATTGCTGAATCAAACGTCTGTGCCTTTTTAAAGCTTTTGGTACAGGTTGTCAAATTGCCCTTTGGAAAAGTTGTAGCAGTTTGCATTCATGCTAGCAATAGATGTGAATGCCCATTTCCAATAAACTCTCATCAGTACTTTTTTCTCCTATATCTTTGTCAATTTGATGTGTAATATGGTATTTTTGATAACCTGCATAGCTTTAATATTCGTAATCGTAACATCTTTTACTAAACCTTATTGATTATTTGGATTTCTTGTTTTCTGATTTGTCTGTTAATGTCCATCCATTATCAGTTTTCTTCTTTTTTCTTTTCTTTATTTATTTGGTTGTGCTGGGTCTTAGTTGTGGCAGGTGAGCTCCTTAGTTGTGGCTCGCCGGCTCCTTAACTGTGGCATGCTCACTCTTAGTTGCGGCATGCATGTGGGATCTAGTTCCCTGACCAGGGATTGAACCTGTGCCCCCTGCGTTGCGAGTCTTAACCACTGTGCCACAGGGCAAGTCCCCACTATCGGTTTTCTAATAGGCCATTGGTTTTTTTCTTACTGATTAGTAAGGGCTTTTAGTATAATTAGACTACATAGACTACAGACGTTTTCCCTTGTTTGTTGTTTGCCTTTTAATTACAATTTTTTAAACTTCCCCTTTTATTAAAAAAAAAATCTTTAAATTCATCTGAGTATTGTTCTTAGGCTCTGCTTTGCAAACCTGTGGGTGTCTGAATCCATACCTAGTACTGCCTGGGACTAAATAACCATGTCTTATACTTTTTTTTTTTTTTAGTTCATTAGTTCATGTCTTTTATTAACCAATATACAATAACCTGTCTTCTGGTTTGTTGAAACAATAGGTCAGACAACATTTGTCACAATAGTGTTTGTCAAAGTGGCTGGCCATAAAAACTCCACACCACATTTATCTGAAGGGCACTCCCGATGAAGGTGACTGCTTTTGCCATTCTGATCCGCCTTACAGTATTTCAGGACAGCCAGCTTAACCTTTCTCTCTCTCTCTCTCTTTTTTTTCTTTTGGCCATGTGGCTTGTGGGATCTTAGTTTCCCAACCAGGGATCGAACCTGGGCCCTCCGCAGTGAGAGTGCAGAGTCCTAACCACTGGACCGCCAGGGAATTCCCAACCCTCTTTCTCTTATGCTTGTTCTTCTTGGGAGTGGTGTAAGACTTCTTCCTTTTCTTAGTACCAGCACGAAGTCTCAACAGAAGATGAAAAGTAGACTCCTTTTGAATGTTGTAGTCAGACAAAGTACGTCCATCTTCCAGTTGCTTGCCAGCAAAGGTTAGTCTTCACTGGTCAGAAGGAATTACTTCCTTATCTTGGATCTTGGCCTTTACATTTTCTATTGTATCTGAGGGTTCGACCTCGAGAGTGGTGGTCTTCCCTGTCCGGATCTTCATAAAAATCTGCATCCTGGTGGCGGCACCACCACAGATGGTGGATCCAAAAAGCCTATGTCTTATACTTTTGTGCCATTGTCACAGGATGTAAACGATAGGATTTATTTTATTAAAATACTGAATCATCTAAAAGTGTTACTAAATTCATGGTTATATTTTGTCATTAGGTATTTTATTTGGTCAGTGGATGCTGTGTGTAAATTACTGTCATATAGGAGTTAGTAACTGCTGCTTTCATCTAGGACGGTCCTATACTTATGGGTCAAGTCTGGACACAGTAGAGGCTACACATTATTAAGGAGTCTTCAGAAGTTTTCTACTTATCTATCTCTGGGGTGAAGGGGGAAACGGACCAATGATTACCTCCCAGACCCAGGGTGACCGTCCCACTCCTTAGCCTCTTCTAGCCTCCCTAGTGTTGGCTATCCCAGGCAGGGTTTAGAGATGGAGTTCCTCCAAATCTATGGGTAAGTGTAAGACCTGTGTTCAGGAATGGAAAACTTGACATTTCCTGATTGAAATATTTTTTTTCCATAGAAGAGGACAGGAGAGAAGAGGTGATCCAGGCCTGGGGAGGTTGCTGATGCCCTCTGGGTTACACAGGTTAAGCTAGAGATGCCTGTTACCCACTCAGGTGACTGTCGAGTAGACAGCTGGGTATGAAGATCTGGGGTTAGAAGAGAGATCTGAGCTTGATACTTAGATTTGGAAGCCATTTGTGTATGCACGGTAATTGAAAACATTGGGGGTACATGAGATTGCACAGGGCGTGTATATAAGTGAAATGAGAGCTAAAAAAGAAACTCCAGCGTTTAGGGGATGGGCAGAGGAAGAAAAGCCAGCAAAAGTGGTAGAAATGTTGAAGTCAGATAAAAAGCCCCAGTGACAAGCACTGTGGTACAGTGATAAGAATATTTGCATTAAAGTCAGACATAGTGGCTGTGTAACTTGAGGCAAGTTTCTTAACTCCTCTGGGTCTGTTTCCCCAGTCCAACATGAAGGCAATACCTGCTTTAAAGGACTGTTTCCTACATGAGAATGTAGGAAAGCTCTTGGTTCTGTTCAGCAGAGAATGGGTGCTTCGGAGGAGCTAAGGAAGACCACCAAGAATATGATCCCCTAAGGGCACTCTCAGGGCTTAAACCAGAGATGACCGTTACTTGCTTTGCAGAGGTGTTGTGAGATTAGTAACACTGTAAGCAAAACCTCTAACTGTGCCCAGTCTTAGGACACAAGAACCCAGGATTTGAGTATCAGAATCAGACTTTTTTCAGTTACTACTTTGACGTTGGCCTATCCTTGAGCCAAAGACAGAATTACAGTTGGCCCTCAGTATCCACAAGTTCTGCATCCTTGGATTCAACCAAATGCAGATCAAAAATGTTTGGAAAAAATCCAGAAAGTTCCAAAAAAGCAAAACTTGAATTTGCCACATGCTGGCACCTGTTTACATAGCATTTACATCGTATTAGGTATTATAAGTAATCTAGAGATGATTTAAGGCATATGGGAGGATGTGCATAAGTTATATGCAGGTACTGCACCATTTTATATAAGGGACTTAAGCTTCTGTAGATTTTGGTATCTGTGGAGGGGACAGGGAGGGACCCCGAGGAAACTGAGGGATGACTGTATATTAATTGCCTCTAAACACTATCTTCAAGTCCTTTTCTTCCTGAGGAACTTCCTCTGTTAGAAAATAAAACTGGGGATTACAGAACATCCATTTCCTCTAGTATAGTAAATTCAAATGTTAAGAAACCCATACTTGAGACTCCCCTGGTGGCACAGAGGTTAAGAATCCGCCTGACAATGCAGGGGACATGGGTTCGAGTTCTGGTCTGGGAAGATCCCACATGCCGCGGAGCAACTAAGCCCGAGTGCCACAACTACTGAGCTTGTGCTCTAGAGCCTGTGAGCCACAACTGCTGAGCCCGCATGCCACAACTACCAAAGCCCACGCGCCTAGAGTCTGTGCTCCGCAACAAGAGGAGCCGCCCCAATGAGAAGCCTTCACGCTGCAACTAGAGAAAGCCTGCGCACAGCAACAAAGACCCAACGCAGCCAAAAATTAACAATAAATAAATTAATTTAAAAAAGATATCCATACTTTATGTTCACCTATGTTTAGAATAAAACTATTTTAAACTAGTTTTTAAACAAACAATAAAGGTAATATGTGAAAATTACATATAGGTATAAAGAATTTCAAACTATACAGAGAGGTATAATATGAAAAGTAATTCCTTCCCCTCATCCAATTCCCTTCCCAAGAGGTAACCACTGTTAATAGTTTCTTGTGTATCATTCCCATTAACATAAATACTTATATAGGTATATTCTCCCACACACACACAAATGGACTTATACTGTATATAATATTCTATGCTTTCATTGCTTTTTAATTTAACACTGTCTCTTGAGGAGATAGTTTTTTCATATCAACATAGGTAACTCTTCCTTTTAACAGCTGCACAGAAATCCTTTATACGATGCGACAATTTACTCAACAGCCTCCTACCTCCTATTGCTGGATGTTTAGGTTATTTACAATTTGTGGTATTACAAATACTGTAATGAATATTTTCGCATATGAATGAGTTTTTGCACATTTGTGCAGTATAGCTATAGGATAAATTCCTGTTGGATGAAGGAGGAAGTGTCCTTGAAAATTTGATATTATCAAATTGCCCTCCAAAGAGGGCACTTCTTCCAACTGGGGTAATCCAGTCCCCCAGACTCACCCCAACACCATATTGAACTTAAAAGTCTCTGACAGTGTTAGGTAAAAATAGTATCTTGCTTTAATTTCTTCTTAATTGAAGTATAGTTGATTTATAATATTATATTAGTTTCAGGTGTATAACAGTGATTCAGAATTTTTATAGATTATACTTCATTTAAAGTTATTACAAAATAATGGCTATATTTCCCTGTGCTGTAGAATATATCCTTGTTGCTTATTTATTTTATACATAGTAGTTTGTATCTCTTAATCCCACATCACTACCTTGCCCCTCCCCACTTTCCTCTCCCCTCTGGTAACCACTAGTTTGTTCTCTATATCTGTGAGTCTATTTCTGTTTGTTATATACATTCATTTGTTATATTTTTAAGATTCCACGTATAAGTGATATCTTGCTTAAATTTGTTCTTTTATTGCAAGACAACATTTATATCATATATTGGCTATTTTTATTTATATTTCTGTTCCTGTGCTTTGCTTACTTTTCTCTTTTTTAAAAAACTGATTTAAGAATTCTATTGATCTTGATTTGTAATGTCTTTTATTTTTTTATTAAAATTTTTTTTTATATTAATTTATTTAGTTTTGGCTGCCCTGGGTCTTTGTAGCTGCACGCAGGCTTTCTCTAGTTGCTGCGAGCGGGGGATACTCTTCGTTGCAGTGCAAGGGATTCTCATTGCAGTGGCTTCTCTTGTTGCAGAGCATGGGCTCTAGGCGCACGGGCTTCCGTAGTTGTGGCACGTGGGCTCAATAGTTGCGGGTTGCGGGCTCTAGAGCGCAGGCTCAGTAGTTGTGGCACACGGGCTTAGTCGCTCCGTGGCATGTGGGATCTTCCCGGACCAGGGATCAAACCCATGTCCTGCTTTGGCAGGCAGATTCTTAACCACTGGACCACCAGGGAAGTCCTGTAATGTCTTTTAATATGAAGTTAACGCATTATCTATCATCCTTGGCAAATACTTTTTACAAACTTTTTTGTACTTTAAGTTTTTTTACACTCCTTTTTTTTCTCTGCAGGAGTTCTAAAATTTTACATATTCATGTATTATCAATCTTTTCCTATATAGCTTCTTTTCCACTCTAAGATTTTTTTAAAAATTCGGCAGTGTCTTCTCTAGTAGTTGTACTTTTTATGTTAGGGTGTTTGATCTACCTGAAATTGATAGGGCTGCCCTTGGTGATAGTGGTTACTACTAACCAGCCCTCACACCCTGTACTCACCGGCCTCAGCACCCTGCACACTTCCTGGAGGATCCGCTCCTGGTTCTTCACGGAGCACAGGACCAGTGTGCAGACCACCACATCCATGGAGTCGTCGGCCACCTGGTGCAGGTCCTCCCCGGCAGCCACCAGGAAGGGCTCAAACTGCAGGTGTCGGTTCTCAGCAATGCTCTTGATCAAGAACTTCTCAAAGTTGGGGTTGGGATCAATACAGGTCACCCGGCATCCAGGCGGGTAGAACTTGAAGTTGGGCCCTGTGCCGCAGCCCAGCTCCAGCAGGGAGAGCTTCCCGGAGGGGCCTGCGAACTCCTGTAGATTGCTGAAGAGCTCCTGCTTCTTGCTCGCCATCCGTTCGTTGTACATCACAGTAAACCTTGCCAAGAAGTAGGGGAGCGATTTTTTGCATATCCAGTTCCACAGGCCCAGGAAGTCCAGCAGGTACACGGGAAATGCCAGGATGCAGACGGCCAGCCGGAGGATAAAAATGGTCAGCGCCATCACTCAGAAGAGAAGAAAACAGATCAGCAGTTAGAGGCCTGACTCCTTTAATTGCAGGAAGTAGGTTTCTGGCCACATTCCAGAGCCAATCAGCTGCAGAGGAAAGAGCTGGTTGTGCTGGAGAGACGCAGCTGCAGTAAAATCTCGGGCGAGAGGCCCATTTCACCCAGTTAATAGATGTTTGCCAAAAGTTGCCTCATAGCTTACTTTTCATGAGGTAAAATGAGAAGGTTCTCAGCTTTTCCTTAGAAGGAAGGCTGATTACAACCCATTATTACAAATCTATTCCTGCTTGGAGACTACTGCAAGTTTCCTGCTGAAGTTTTAAATGCACAGCATACTTACAGCCTGTCTGGTTCTCCAGTGACCTCTGCTAAGAAAACAGAATCCGTGGGTGGAGCCTGGTTAAACCACACCAGAAAGCCACTGCCAAAGCCCATTTATTACGTGACCCCTCCTACTTCCCTTCCATCCGCCCTCATGTTTTTTTAAACAAATTTTTTTTTCTGCTGATTTTATTTATTTTTTGTCTCTTGTGGATGCCTTTTTTTTGGCTGCATTGGGTCTTTGTTGCTGCATGTGGGTTTCTCATTCCAGTGACTTCTCTTGTTGCAGAGCACGGGCTCTAGGCGCGTGGGCTTCAGTAGTTGTGGCACACGGGTTCAGTAGTTGTTATAGCAGCCTATATTTTGAAAAGCATTTCCCTCACCCCCTTTTTTTCTTCAGTCTCTGTAGGCAGTATTTTCGTTTTCTCCTGGGGTGTTTACATTTCAAAGACATTCACAACTTCAGGGACAGAGAAAGAATGACGTTTTTCTCCTAGGAGTTTTGGGGTGTATTTCTCTATTATCAGAAGTCTAGGGTGACTACTATTTAGATTTTTTCTTTGTATTAGGGGTTGGGCAACATGAGGCACTCTGTTTCAATCACCACAACATCTTCCCCTTTGCTCTCCTCACTTTCCCAGGGATTCTACCTCTTAGCATCCTAATCAGGCTTTCTCACAAGTACTTGGACCTTAATCTGCAGTAGCTTGTGCCCTCCTAGCTTTGCAAAATGGCACATGAAGGTCTCCAACTTATTATTCTGCTCTTGTACCTTGTCTGCCAGCCCCGAAGCTAGCAGAGTAGTGGACAACTGCATGTTCTTCTCTAACTTCAGCTCTTCTTCCAACTGTCTAACTCAAGCTTCAGCCTCTATTTGGGCATCAGTGGCCACAGAACTGCCCACAGTAGAGGACAGCCCACCGCAGCAGCCATTTGTTTCCCTTCTTTGCCACAGTGTGCTCTGCTCAGTTCCTCAAACAAATGCATCAACACACCCGGCTTTTTCAGGGTGCCCCTGTAGTCACACATTGGTGCACAAGCATCTAACATACAGGCCACCCCTCCTGACATAGAGGTTGATGTCTAACTCAGGATATTATCCTCAAATGCCTCTTGCCCAGGGCTTGTTTCTTCAGTCTCCTGGCTGCCTTATCAGTTGTTAGTTCACAACCTGGCTGCTGTACACACTGAGCAAGGAGAGACTGAAGAAAGAAGCAGACCACTCCAGATTGGTAGCTGGCAGATTTAATAAGAAGGGGGCTTACTTATGAGGCTTGCCTTAGATGGCCACGAGATGAGTAGATCTCCACGCCCACCACCAGAATCATAAAAGTTTAGATAGAGGCCTTAACTGGGATCTGTCACCTCCACAGTCCAATGGTCTCAACACCTTACTCTCTCAAAGCTGTATCCTTGGAACAGCTCCCATTGTGGGGACAGTGGTAAGAATGGACATTTCAAGGGCAGTTGAGGGAATGAGGAACCTCTGATTGCCTGAGTCCAGCCCATCAGTCAATCACTGATTACGTCCTCTTGATGACCTCCTCCAATATACTTTGTGTCCTTTTTTTTTGACCACACCCCGGGGCATGCAGGATAATAGTTCCCCCACCAGGGATCGAACTTGGCCACCCCCACCCCCCGCCCCCCGCAGTGGAAGCACGGAGTCTTAACCACTGGACAGCCAGGGAAGTCCAGTTTGTGTCCCTTTTTTAGTCAGTTTATCTAGAGGTTTTTCACTTGTATTGATCTTTTCATAAAACTAGCTTTTAAGTTTTGTTAATTTTTCTCTAGTGTTTGTTTTCTATTTCATTATTTCTGGACTTTATTATGTTTTTTTCTACTTACATTGAATTTAATTTGATCATCTTTCACTTCTGAAGTTGAAAGCCTTAATAATTGATATAAGCCCCCCTTGCCTCTTCTAATGTAAGTATTTGAAGCTATAAGTTTTTCTTATAGCACTGTTTTAGGTGGATACACAAAGTCTGATGTACTGTGTTTTCATTTTCATTCAATTTAAAATGTTTTCTAATTTTCCTTGTGATTTTTTTCTTTGACCCCATGGATTATTTAGAAGTTGTTTAAATATTTGGGGCTTTCATAGGTATCTTTGTATATTGATTTCTAATTTAATTTTATTGTCACAGAACATACTATGTGGGCTTCAATCTTTTGAAGTCTATTTAAATTTGTTTTATGGCCCAGAATATATTTTTTCTCAGAAAGTGGTCCCTGTTCATTGAAAAGAATGTGTATTCTGAAGTTGTCAGGTGTAATGTTCTATAAATGTCAATTAAGTTAAGGTAGCTGAAAGTGTCATTCAGATCTTCTGTATTCTTATTATTTAGTTGCTCTGTCAATTATAGTGAGAGATGTCTTACATCTACAATTATGATTGTGAATTTGTTTTTCCCTTTAGTTATTTCAGTTTTTGCTTCATGTATTTTGAGACTCCATTATTAGGCACAAATACATTTATAATAGTTGTAGCTGCCTGATACATTTCCTTTTCATCATTATGAAGTGTCCTTCTTTGTTTTTAGTGTTTATTTTTGTCCTGAAGTCTATTTTGTCTGGTATGTATTTAGCCACTCCGTATGCTTTCTAATGTTTCCTCTTTCCAACTTTATTTTTTATTGGAGTATAATTGCTTTACAATGTTGTGTTGGTTTCTGCTGTACAATGAAGTGAATCAGCTATATGTATACATATGTCCCCTCCCTCTTGGACCTCCCTCCCACCCATCTAGGTCATCACAGAGCACCGAGCTGAGCTTCCTGTACTCTATAGCAGGTTCCCACTAGCTATCTGTTTTACACATGGTAGTGTATATGTATCAATCTTAATCTCCCAGTTCGTCCCACCCTCCCCTTCCCCCACTGTATCCACATGTCTGTTCTCTACGTCTGTGTCTCTATTCCTGCCCTGGAAATAGGTTCATCTGTACCATTTTTCTAGATTCCACATATATGCATTAGTATACGATATTTGTTTTTCTCTTTCTGACTTACTTCACTCTGTATGACAGTCTCTGGGTCCATCCACATCTCTACAAATGACCCAATTTTGTTCCTTTTTATGGCTGAGTAATATTCCATTGTATATATATACCACAGCTTCTTTATCCATTCATCTGTTGATGGACACTTAGGTTGTTTCCATGTGCTGGCTATTGTAAATAGAGCTGCAATGAACATTGGGGTACATGTGTCCTTTTGAATTATGGTTTTCTCAGGGTGTATGCCCAGTAGTGGGATTGCTGGGTCATATGGTAGTTCTATTTTAGTTTTTTGAGGAACCTCCATACTGTCCTCCATAGTGGCTTTATCAGTTTACATTCCCACCAACAGTGCAAGAGGGTTCCCTTTTTTTCCATGCCCTCTCCAGCGTTTATTGTTTGTAGATTGATTACGGCCATTCTGACCAGTGTGAGGTATTACCTCACTGTAGTTTTGTTTTGCATCTCTCTAATAATTAGTGACGTTGAGCATCTTTACATGTGCCTCTTGGCCACCTGTCTGTTTTCTTTGGAGAGATGTCTATTTAGGTCTTCCATCCATTTTTTGATTGGGTTGTTTGTTTTTTTGATATTGAGCTGCTTGTATATTTTGGAGATTAATTCTTTGTCCATTGATTTGTTTGCAAATATTTTCTCCCATTCTGAGAGTTGTCTTTTTGTCTTGTTTATAATTTCCTTTGCTGTGCAAAAGCTTAAGTTTAATTAGGTCCCATTTGTTTATTTTTGTTTTTATTTTCATTACTCTAGGAGATGGGTCAGAAAAGATCTTGCTGTGGTTTATGTCACAGCGTGTTTTTCCTATATTTTCATCTAAGAGTTTTATACTGTCTGGTCTTACATTTAGGCCTTTAATATATTTTGAGTTTATTTTTGTGTATGGTGTTAGGGAGTGTTCTAATTTAATTCTTTTACATGTAGCCGTCCAGTTTTCCCAGCACCATATATTGAAGAGGCTGTCCTTTCTCCATTTTATATTCTTGCCTCCTTTGTCATAGATTAGGTGACCATAGGTGTGTGGGTTTATCTCAGGGCTTTCTATCCTGTACCATTGATCTATATTTCTGTTTTTGTGCCAGTACCATATTGTCTTGATTACTGTAGCTTTGTAGTATAGTTTGAAGTTGGGGAGCCTCATTCCTCCAGCTTCATTTTTCTTTCTCAAGATTGCTTTGGCTATTCGGGGTCTTTTGTGTTTCCATACAAATTGTAAAATTTTTTCTTCTGATTCTGTGAAGAATGTCAGTGGTAATTTGATAGGGATTGTATTGAATCTGTAGATTGCTTTGGGTAGTTTAGTCATTTTCACAATGTCAATTCTTCCAATCCAAGAATATGGTATATTTCTCCATCTGTTTGTGTCACCTTTGATTTCTTTCATTAGTGTTTTATAGTTTTCTGAGTACAGGTCCTTTGCCTCCTTAGGTAGGTTTATTCCTATGTATTTTATTCTTTTTGTTGCAATAGTAAATGACATTTTTTCCTTAATTTCCCTTTCTGATCTTTCATTGTTATAGGAATGCAAGAGATTTCTGTGCATTAATTTTGTATCCTGAAACTTTACCAAATTCATTGATTAGATCTAGTAGTTTTCTGGTGGCATTTTTAGGATTTTCTGTGTATAGCATCATGTCGTCTGCAGACAGTGACAGTTTTACTTCTTTTCCAATTTGGTTTCCTTTTATTTCTTTTTCTTCTCTGATTGCTGTGGCTAGGACTTCCAAAACTGTGTTGAATAATTGAGGCGAGAGTGGACATCCTTGTTTTGTTCCTGGTCTTTGTGGAAATGCTTTTAGTTTTTCACCATTGAGAATGATTCTTGCTGTAGGCTTGTCATCTATGGCCTCTATTATGTTGAGGTAGGTTCCCTCTATGCCCATTTTCTGGAGAGTTTTTATCATAAATGGGTGTTGAATTTTGTCAAAAGCTTTTTCTGCACCTATTGAGATGAACATATGGTTTTTATTCTTTAATTTGGTAAAATCGTGTATCACATTGATTTGCATATATTGAAGAATCCTTGCATTCCTGGGATAAATCCCACTTGATCAGGGCGTATGATCCTTTTAGTGTGTTGTTGATTCTATTTGCTAGTATTTTGTTGAGGATTTTTGCATCTATGTTCATCAGTGATATTGGTCTGTAATTTACTTTTTTTGTGGTATCTTTGTCTGGTTTTTGGTATCAGGGTGATGGTGGCCTTGTAGAATGAATTTGGGAGGGTTCCTCCCTCTGCAGTTTTTTGGAAGAGTTTGGGAAGGATAGGGCAATACCAGCCCCTGCCAACTGGTAACCACTAGTTCTCTCTGTGACTCTGCTTCTTTTATGTTAAAAAATAATATAATTTAAAATTTGAGTTTATAAGTAGAATGAGTCCTTTGTTCTAGTAAGTTTTTCAGATGAAAGAAATAGGGTATTTATCTAATACATAATGATCTATATAATGAAAAGGGTCCTATGAATCATGGATGGGATAATAATAACAGTAAAAACAGTAACCAGTTATTGAACACCTTCAATATATCAAGAATTTCATATAATCAACTTATTTAATCATTCACAACAGTGGTGCCAAGGAGGTATTAATAATTGTCCAAACTCTTACAGTGACCAAGTTGACAGAAAGAAATTTGAAACAAAGTCTACCTTAGATTCCAAAGTCTTATCTCTTGTGGTGGAGAGAAATGTTACATAACTGAATTCTGGTTGGCTGAAATAAGTGAACTAAGCTGGGGGAAGAGGTAAGAGGTTACAGACAGTAGCTCCTGCCTGATTACAAAGGCAGACCCAAGCAGTAAGTAGGACGGACATACCTTTGAAGTGAAAAGCAAGGGTTTTTCCTCCAGTGCTGTCGATACATTTTAGAAGAGTTTCTTAATATCAACTAATATCCAGGGCTTATCAAGTGAATCTGAATGATAGTCAGGTAGAATAAACAGGAAATGACTAATGTATTATACTGATTGCTATGAAAGCATCACCAACTAATTCCTTATAAGACCTTGTTGGTGGATAAACTAGGGTCTCCTTCAAGAAAGAACAGTCAGTATCCCCTCAGTGTTGCTCATAAGTCTATAAAAATTAGTTTTCTAGGGCTTCCTTGGTGGCGCAGTGGTTGAGGGTCCGCCTGCCGATGCAGGGGACACAAAGTTCGTGCCCCGTCCGGGAAGATCCCACATGCCGCGGAGCGGCTGGGCCCGTGAGCCATGGCCGCTGAGCCTGCGTGTCCGGAGTCAGTGCTCCGCAACGGGAGAGGCCACAGCAGTGAAAGGCCCGCGTACCGCAAAAAAAAAAAAAAAAAAAAAAAAATCAGTTTTCTACCCCTTGAATGTTAAACCAGTAATGATCCCCAAGGGAATTAATTGATGGAAAACTAATGCTTTCAGTTAAATCCTGAAATTATGTTAAAGCCAAGCAAAACAAAACAAAACAACAACAAAAATACATGATCTTAGCTGGTTGAATGTAAAAAAGAAGGATGAGAAAATAATTATTTCTCCCTTACTACATGGGTTCTCCAAAGTTTAAGGGAGATGTGAGTTGATTAATAGTAGATACTAAACCAGTCAATTTTTTCTTTTGTTTTATATAATCCATATTAAAGATTAGTCATCATAAAGTTAATCCCAGGTTGGCATCCCTCCTTTCCCAGCATGCTCTTCTGTCACCTCTGCTCACAGTTAATTCCAGGGCCCAAGAAATACAGACCTTTCGCATGGGCTTCAAGAAAATAATGTTCAGAAAATAGGTTATAACGTTGCAAAAAAAAGTCACAGTATACATTTCTAAATAAAAAGTAAATTATTTGGGGATGTTTGCACCACAATTCTCTCTTGGCACAGGAAAGGAAGTATTAATATTAAATAGTTTTAATTAGAATTTGAAAAACAGGCAAATACTTACTTCTTCAAATATCCTTTGAGAACCAGAAACAAGATGATGATTCAAAAATATATATATCATACAAACAAATGTTTTTGAATAAAATAAAATCTAACTTAAAAATAAGGTTTGATTAATTTAACAAAACATTTTTAAAATTATTAACTCTTTATTTTGACATTTATATACATAAAGTATATATTTAACTGAATATTTTACACAAACTCTAGGAAGGTATTCCAAATGAAAAAGTATGATTATAAAGTACAACAAGATACCTCGAGGAAGCATGTGATTCAGTGCCAAATTTATAATCACTTATCTAATATGTCACAATCCTTTTATTCCAGAAAATGTCCACATGAGGACTCTAAAATGGGCAATTACTTGTCAAAAGAATAAATGATTTTCATTATATAGAACATGGAAAGGGACACGAGGCAAAATAAAGATTCTTCAGAATTTCTTTATGGAGCTGCTAGTAAGACAACAGAACCTAAGGCTACAAGGACCTGTCCAAGCAGAATATTTATATTAAATATGCCTTCATTGCTTGCCTGGTAGAATTGATCTGTCAGCCACTTTTGGTAGAAGGATGGCCCACTATAGACACCAGGAAAATTTTTTCGCCCACAGCCATATCCATAACTGGTAATTCCCATTACAAAATATCGTTCATGTTCTGGTAAGTAGCACATTAATGGTCCACCACTGTCACCCTATTAAAAAAGTCCCAAAATAGTATTAGTTACTTCCACTAGTCCTTAAACAACAGTAAAGCTGAAATAAATTAATCACATTAATCATACATTTATATATATATTTTCAAAATACCTCCAACTTACAAAGAACCATAGATTTTCAGTTTTGTATTCTGACTAAAACAGGAGATATTCAGTCTGGCCTGGTGTTTAGAGGCACCGTGTAGCTGGTGGATAAACTTCGCACCTGCATAGTTTTGAACCAGAATACTATAAATCAAATTGTTTGAACTTTTTAGTGCAGTTACTCAGGAGAAATGTAATTTAGGAAGTGTGAAAAATACTGCAAATATTGTCTATTAGAATACTTCTGTTAATGCTGTGTGGGAAAGGTAGAACTAAGATATATAAAGGATTCATTTAGGGATGTGTGTGTGTGTCGTTTGCTAACTAGAGGACAGGAGTAAATTGGCATCTTGCAAGAGATGGCATCTTTCTAAGTGTTGACATTGGCTGGTGCAGGATAACAGGAATCAATGGCTAGTCCTCTTAATAGTATTACAAATAACAAATCTCTATCATGGTTTATACAAGACTGTTAATGCACTGAAACACCTTTACTGAGGACTGTTAATCATTCAAAACAGTAAGGACGCTGAGATAACTGTTTCAGTGCCTAAAGTATAAGGACTGTGTTTCTAAGGTGTTTGCAAATTCTCTACATAAGGTAAGCATTGAATAATTATTTTTGAAGGTAAGAATGTTTCACTTAGGAATACAATTCATAAGTGAAAGTATGTAGATTGGATTCTTTCACTCAGCACGATTTTTAAGGAAAAGGACACAGGAAAGATAGACCCTGGATTGCAGAAATCAGAATGAGTAGGAAAAGATCAGAGCATGGGACACTGTTTGGGAGTGATGTGCTGGTAGATTTAGAAGCAGTGAAGAAAAGAGGAATAAAGAAAGATTCAAAAAGCACAAGGGACAAAACAAAAAATAGATAAATTGGACTCCATAAAAAATCAAAGACTTTTGTGCTACAAATGATAACATCAGGAAAGTGAAAAGACAGTCCACAGAATGGGAGGAAATATTTGCTAACCATACATGTGGTAAAGGACTTGTATCTGGAATATGCAAAGAATGTTTGTGACTCCATAATAAAAAGATAAATAACTCAATATAAAAATGGGCAAAGGATCCGAATAGACCTTTCTCCAAAGACGATATACAAAAGACTAATAAGCACATGCAGAGATGCTCAACATCATTAGTCATTAAGTAAATACAAATTAAAAGCACAGTGAGATACCTTGAGATACCCACAAGGATGGCTATAATCGAAACTCTAATTCAAAAAGATATATGCACCCCAATGTTCATAGCAGTACTATTTACCATAGACAAGACATGGAAACAACCCAAGTGTCCCTCAAGAGATGGTTGGTTTAAGAAGATGTGGTATATATATGTACTATGGAATATTACTCAGCCATAAAAAAGAATGAAATATTGCCATTTGCAGCAACATGGATGGACCTAGAGAATATCATACTAAGTGAAGTAACTCGATAGAGAAAGACAAATATATATGTTATCACTTATATGTGGAATCTAAAAAAATAATACAAATAAATCTATATACAAAACAGAAACACGACTCACAGACATAGAAAATATATATAACTGAAAAAATATATATATAACTGAATCAATTTACTGTATACCTGAAACTAATACAATATTGTAAATCAACTATATTTCAATTAAAAAAAGATAGATTGTAAGAAATGCTGTAAAGGATGTGGAGAAATTAGAACTCTCATACATTGTTGAGATGGCCAAAAAGCACATGAAAAGATGCTCAACATCACTAATTACTAGAGAAATGCAAATCAGAACTACAATGAGGTATCACCTCACACTGGTCAGAATGGCCATCGTCAAAAAAATCTACAAACAATACATTCTGGAGAGGGTGTAGAGAAAAAGGAACCCTCCTACACTGTTGGTGGGAATGTAATTGGTACAGCCACTATGCAGAACAGTATGGAGGTTCCTTAAAAAACTAAAAATAGAACTACCCTATGACCCACCAATCCCACTCCTGGGCATATATCCAGAGAAAACCATAATTTGAAAAGATACATGCACCCCAATGTTCATTGATGCACTATTTACAATAGCCAGGACATGGAAGCAACCTAAGTGTCCATTGACAGATGAATGGATAAAGAAGATGTGGCACATACATACAACAGAATATTACTCAGCCATAAAAAAGAACAAAATAATGCCATTTGCAGCAACATGGATGGACCTAGAGATTGTCATGCTGAGTGAAGTAAGTCAGACACAGAAAGACACATGTCATAGGATATCACTTATATGTGGAATCTAAAAAAAAAAGGGCACAAATGAACTTATTTACAAAACAGAAGTAGAGTCACAGATGTAGAAAACAAACTTATGGTTACCAGGGGATAAGGTGGGAAGAGATAAATTGGGAGATTGGGATTGACATATACACACTACTATATATAAAATAGGTAACTGATAAGAACCTGCTGTATAGCACTGTGAACTCTACTCTGTAATGGCCTATATGGGAAAATAATCTAAAAAAAAAAAAGAGTGGATATATGTATATGTATACTGATTCACTTTGCTGTACACCTGAAACTAACACAGCATTGTAAATCAACTGTACTCCAAAAAAAACAAACAAAAAAAGAACTCTCATACATTGCTGGGTAAAAATGTAAAATGGTGCAGCCACTTGGGAATACAGTTTGGCAGGACTTCAAAATGTTAAACATTGACTCAGCAGTTCTACCCCTAGGTGAAATTTCCAAGAGAAATAAAAACATACCTACACATGGGCTTTCCTGGTGGCGCAGTGGTTGAGAGTCCGCCTGCCGATGCAGGGGACACGGGTTTGTGCCCCAGATGGGGAAGATCCCACATGCCACGGAGCGGCTGGGCCCGTGAGCCATGGCCGCTGAGCCTGCACGTCCGGAGCCTGTGCTCCGCAACAGGAGAGGCCACAACAGTGAGAGGCCCGCGTACCGCAAAAAACAAAAACAAAAACAAAAAAACCTACACATAAAAACGTACACAAATGTTTATAGCCACGTTATTCATAAAAGCCAAAAAGTAGAAATAGCTCAAATGTCCATCAACGAATGAATGGATGAATAAAATGTGGCATATCCACACCATGGTATATTATTTGGCAATATATCAATGCATGCTGTAATAGAGATGAACCTTGAAAACATTATGCTAAGTAAAAGAAGCCAGTCACAAAAGACCACAAATTGAATGATTCCATTCATATGAGATTTCCGGAATAGGCAAATCTCTAGATATTAGTGGTTGCCTAGGGCTAGGGGTAGGTGAGAGGAGAATGGGGAGTGACTGCTAATGAGTAGAGTTTTTAGGGGCGGGGGGTGACAAAAGTGATCTAAAAATTAGATTATGGTGATGGTTGCACTATTCTATAAATATACTGAAACCCCACTGGGTTGTACACTTTAAATGGGTGAATTGTATATATGTAAATTGTATCTCAATAAAAGTGGTAATGGAAAAAAAGATTCAAGGCAAATTTTGATTAAGGTTGACCATGATTGTAGAAACCAAGGAATCAGGCAAGCAAGACGATTTGGATTGTTGGAATAGTTAAAAAAGGAGAAAAACAATTTAGACTTGAGAATTAAGACTTCACCAGAAAGTGATCAAAGGACTTGTTCAAGTTCCGTTCTGTCTTTAGAAAGTATTTCTAAGGAAAATTATTTGGTCTTACCTTGCAAGTATCAACAACTCCATCTTCATCACCTGCACAAAATGAAGTGTAAGGGATTATATCCCCATAACTCTTGTCAGAAGTACAAAAACTTGGAGAAATATAATGCACTTCTGCTTCATGTAATTTTTTTGTAATATTACCTATTAACAAAAAAATACCAATAAATTATTTTGGAGAGCAGACATTTTGACAGCAATATAAAGTATTCCTGATGAACAAGTTTTCTTTCCATAGTGCCTGATTGAACAATTATGTAAAATTGTATCCATGTATGTATGTATGTATGTATGCCTAGAAAGACTGTGAAAGAAAGTTCACCAAATCTTAATGACAGTTATCTCTAGATAGTAGGAATTTCAGGTTACTTTTGTTACCTTTGCTGTCTTGTATTTCCTGGAGGTCTCACAGCAGGATCTATAGCTTTTTTTTTTTTTTTTAAAAAGGGTATTTATTTATTTATATTTTATTTTGGGCTGCATTGGGTCTTTGTTCCTGCACACGGGCTGTCTCTAGTTGCAGCGAGTGGAGATGCTCTTCATTGTGGTGTGCAGGCTTCTCATTGTGGTGGCTTCTCTTGTTGCAGATCACGGTCCTAGGTGCGTGGGCTTCAGTAGTTGTGGCACGCGGGCTCAGTAGTTGTGGTTCGCAGACGCTAGAGTGCAGGCTCAGTAGTTGTGGCGAACAGGCTTAGTTGCTCCGCGGCATGTGGGATCTTCCTGGACCAGGGCTCGAACCCATGTCCCCTGCATTGGCAGGTGGATTCTTAACCACTGCGCCACCAGTATTTATAGCTTTTACAAAGTAAAACTATATAAAAATTGTCAAGGGCGAAAGAGGTAAATGCTGAGGTCTATCTTTCTTATGTTGTAAGCTGTGAATAATTTTAATTAAAGTTTTAATGATGCTAAAGTCTTGAAGGATGTTGAATATGAAAATAAAACAGATTTTTAATTCATGCACTCCCCTAAATTCCCTGCTAATTCCTGAACATAAAGTGGTTCTTTGCTACAGAAAAGATAGGAAAATATAAGAACACTTCAGGTACTATTAAAGGACAGATCATTTTAAGGTTTATCCATAGAAAAGCTACTGTAACAGCAGCATCTCTTCTCATCAGCCTGTCTCAGAGTTACAGGTGTCACATGTGGTAGCTGAATATTTTGTGTGCCCCACATTCTTCCCTAGCTTTTCAAGTAATAGACATTTTACCCTTAGCTGCAAGTGGGTAAATGACCCAACTGTTCCATTCACAGAATTCCATTCTCCTGGTTGTGCTGATTGGTCTAGAGGTGACTATATTTGGTATAAAGCTAGCCAATTGGAATACTTATCCAGCATTTTAATTTTATTTTATTTTAGCAATATAGAAATACCTTTAATATCATAAGTGAAAAATAAGTACATGAAATAGAATGCAGGCTATTATGACAGCTATATACAATTATGTAGAGAAGACCGAAAGGAAGCATATAAAATCATTTGTAACTTATTTAATGATAGTGGGATTATATATTTCCCCATCTATTTTTCAAATATTCTGCACTATTGTTATAATGTTTTAATAAAAATGTTAAATCAAAGATTATTAATAATATTCTTCACTTATTTCCAGTATGGCTGTAATGTTGGCTGTAAATATGAAACTTTCTTCCACACACCAATATTTTCAAGAATGGCATATTCTCACGCAGTATGTTTATCCAGCATTTTTAAACTGGAGCTTCCAGAGAAGAATCTGTTTCACCCTAGTCACATGACTGTTTAGCTATAAATTCAAATCAGTCTGCAGCCATAGTTCCAGACTTATGAGGACAGGCAGCCTGAGAAAGTAAAGTCAACATACAGAGAGAATAGCAATAGGAAATAGAAATTAAATATGTCTAATGGCATCCAGATTCCTGGATCAAGGCTCCTAGAGGCCAGCCTTTCTGCGCTTTATTTATTTATTTATTTATTTTGCGGTACACGGGCCTCTCACTTCTGTGGCCTCTCCCGTTGCGGAGCACAGGCTCCGGACGCGCAGGCCCAGCAGCCATGGCTCACGGGCCCAGCCGCTCCGCGGCATGTGGGATCTTCCTGGACCGGGGCACGAACCCGCGTCCCGTGCATCGGCAGGCGGACTCTCAACCACTGCGCCACCAGGGAAGCCCAATGCACTTTTTAAAAAAATAATTGAAGTAGTACTAGCTGTATATAAAAATATATATATATAACATATAAGTTATAGAATACAATAATGAAATGAACACGTGTAAATCTACCACCCAATTTATGAACAATACTAATCCAGTGTGGTATTGGTATAGGGCTATTCAAAATAACCAGAGATTTTCAAAGTGAATAGGAGAGAGAGCCCAGAAGTAGATGTCTGGGTTTTCCATTTTGTTCCACTGGTCACTTAGAATATTCTTGCACAAATACAACACTGATCAATTACCATAGCTTTAGAATAAACCTTGATTTCTGGATGGCAACTTCTCCAACATTGTTTTCTTCCATAGGAGTGTCTTGGCTATTCTTAGGTCTTTTAGAATGAACTTTTTCATTGTCTTAACACTCATGTTAGGGTTTATCGTAACCTGGTGCTTTTCAGTTTTTCAGATAGAATTGACATCTTTCTTTTTTTTTTTTTAATAAATAAATAAATTTATTTTAAAAAAAGCCAACAACAGTAGAAACGCACCCTTGCATGGAAGGAAGTCCCTGATATCACATGAAATAGTAATTCAGAACAGTCTGTGTGATTCTGTTTATGGAAATGATGATAATATATGATCATTTTTATAGAGGAAAAATCTGGAAGACACATCCAACTTGATAGTTTTATCTCTGGAGGAACTTTTTTTTTTTAGTATTTGTTGGTTTTTTTTTGTTTGTTTGTTTGTTTGTACTGCAGGTTCTTATCAGTCATCAGTTTTATACACATCAGTGTATACATGTCAATCCCAATCGCCCAATTCAGTACACCACCATCCCCACCCCACCGCAGTTTTCCCCCCTTGGTGTCCATACATTTGTTCTCTACATCTGTGTCTCAACTTCTGCCCTGCAGACCAGTTCATCTGTACCATTTTTCTAGGTTCCACATACATGCGTTAATATACGATGTTTGTTTTTCTCTTTCTGACTTACTTCACTCTGTATGACAGTCTCTAAATCCATCCATGTCTCAACAAATGACTCAATTTCGTTCCTTTTTATGGCTGAGTAATATTCCATTGTATATATGTTCCACAACTTCTTTATCCATTCGTCTGTTGATGGGCATTTAGGTTGCTTCCATGACCTGGCTATTGTAAACAGCGCTGCAGTGAACATTGGGGTGCATGTGTCTTTCTGAATTACAGTTTTCTCTGGGTATATACCCAGTAGTGGGATTGCTAGGTCATATAGTAATTCTATTTTTAGTTTTTTAAGGAACCTCCATATTGTTCTTCATAGTGGCTGTATCAATTTACATTCCCACCAACAGTGCAAGAGGGTTCCCTTTTCTCCACATCCTCTCCAGCATTTGTTGTTTGTAGATTTTCTGCTGATGCCCATTGTAACTGGTGTGAGGTGATACCTCATTGTAGTTTTGATTTGCATTTCTCTAATAATTAGTGATGTTGAGCATCTTTTCATGTGCTTCTTGGCCATCTGTATGTCTTCTTTGGAGAAATGTCTATTTAGGTCTTCTGCCCATTTTTGGATTTGGTTGTTTGTTCCTTTAATATTGAGCTGCATGAGCTGTTTATATATTTTGGAGATTAATCCTTTGTCCGTTGATTCATTTGCAGTATTTTCTCCCATTCTGAGGGTTGTCTTTTCGTCTTGTTTATGGTTTCCTTTGCTGTGCAAAAGCTTTGAAGTTTTATTAGGTCCCATTTGTTTATTTTTGTTTTTATTTCCATTACTCTGGGAGGTGGATCAAAAAAGATCTTGCTGTGATTTATGTCAGAGTGTTCTTCCCATGTTTTCCTCTAAGAGTTTTATAGTGTCCAGTCTTACATTTAGGTCTCGAATCCATTTTGAGTTTATTTTTTGTATATGGTGTTAGGGAATATAGATTGACATCTTTCTGATAACTGAGTCCTCCTATTGTGGCATAAACTATACCATTTCGTTTACTTAGATATTCTTTAATGTCTTTTTTAAACGTTTTAGGATTTTTTTCTATAAAAGGCCTGCAATCTTTTGTTAGATTTGTTTTTAGCTACCTAATCATTTTGGTATTATTGTATTTGTTGACTTCCATTATCTTTTGTTACCAAGAATTGTCAAATACCCTTTATTCAGATTCACCAATTGTTTACTTTTTGTCATACTGCACTATCATTTTTATGTGTATGTGTATAAATTTTTCTGAATCATTTAAGAGTGAATGGCTGACATTGTGCCCCTATACCCTTAAATACTTCAGTGTGTACTGCTTAAGAACAAGGACATTCTTTTATATAACAACAGTACATTTATCAAGATCAGGAAATTTAACACTGGTCCAATACTATTATCCAGTTTAATCTCCATGTATTTTTAAATTTTCCAGCTATCTTTCTGTTATTGATTTATAGTTTAATTTCATTGTTTATAGTTTATTTCTAACCATTGCTTTGCTTTCTGTCTCTATGATTTGCCTATTCTGGACATGGCATCATATAAATGGAATTACACAATATGTGGGCTTTTGTGTCTGGCTTATTTCACTTAGCATAAGATTGTAGCAGGTATCAGTACTTCATTCCTTTTTATGGCTGGATGATATTTCATTGTATGAATATGTCACACTTCATTTACCCATTTATCAGTTGATGGACATTTAGATAGTATTCTTTTTTTTGCTATTATGAATAATGCTACTGTGAACATTCAAATACAGGTTTTTGTGTGGACATATGTTTTCATTTCTCTTGGGTATCTACCTAGGAGTGGAATTGCTGAGTCATAAGGTAATTTATATGTTTAAATTTTTGAAAAACTGCCAAAATGTATTCCAAGGCAGCTGCACCATTTTATATTCTTACTAGCAATGTATGAGAGTTCTAATTTCTTCACAACCTCATCAACACTTGTCTTATTTTTTTTTTTTTTTTTTGTCTAACTTTTTGATAAGTCATCCTTGTGGGTGTGACATCTGTTACTTTTAAAATTACATTTTCTA